AAGAACAGCAAGAAACTAGTTGTGTTTAACTTTGTTGCCTTTGTTCTTATCGTTACTACCGTACCGCGCCTACCTACACGAGTCCTCCTAAGATCAATCCGTTGCCTGCCCGACCCCGTCTGGAGAAGGTGTACGACAACATGCTCTGGTGACGCATTTGTTAAAGTGACAAGCTCGGGAATCCCGAAAGAATTCACATTAGGATTACGTTAACTCGCGCGATCTTTCTCTGAGCGTACGCTGGTGGACGGACTGTATTGATTATGTGATATCGTCCGCTCAACCTGTGCATAAAATGGCATCTAGAATACCCCTAGACCCCCTTAGAGACCACGTTAATGTACCCTGTACCAGTAGTGTATTGTCGCCGTTCCTGGAAGGCTTACCAAGGCTCTCGCGGCCGTAACTGTCTGCGCTCGAAGCGTCTGGACCTGCTTCCATGGAGCCGAGTATGAGCACAACCCTGTCGCCGCTGGAACAGGCAAAGCGCCGCGCGCTGCTGGACAAAATCGCGCAGTTCGAGTCGCGGGGCGCAATCCTTCCGACCGACGCACGCACGCTACGCAGTCAGCTACACGACAGCACGAGCGGCCAGTGGAAGGCCGTGGAGGTGCGACTGAAGCAGCTCGCACGTAGCTGGAACCCGTACCACGATGCTACGGCAGGCTCGTCCTCTGCAAAGAAGCAGAAAGACAAGAAGAAATTGGATTTTTACCAGCTTCTAGAGCTGGAAAATGGCGCAAAAGTCACCACCGACGACGTCAAAAGACAGTTCCGTAAACTAGCGCTGCTGTTGCATCCAGATAAGAAGCGCACGAGTCGCAAACGTGAGCGCGAGATAAAAACCGACGAGGAAGAGGGGGGGCTCGATGAGGAAAAGCTCCTTGAAGTGGACTCGACCCAGTTCGCACGCCTTCGGTTGGCTTATGAGACGCTCAGTGACCCTGAGAGACGTGCTGCATACGATGCCAAGATGCAGGAAGCCGCGCACCCGCAGCAATCGCAGCATCTTGGTGAAGTAGTAAAGGACCAAGTGAAGCTGGAAGCTTCGACTGATTTTGCATCGTTAGAGTGGATGGCTCGTGTCAAGCACAAAATGGACGTGATGGCTCGGATTGCCGAGTGGGCCAAGTTGCTCTCACTCAATGCAACGGAACTGCGCTTCGAGACCGGAGAACCCTGTACGGGCAAAGGATGTGGTAAAATTGTGAGTATGGACCGAGATTTAGAGTGCTCGGGCTCTCCACGGCGTCGAGTATACATTTGTTTATTGCACAAGTACATTCATGCTTGCGACGAAAGCTGTACGAGCACGTTTGGCGACGCAGAGCTGGATCGGCGCGTGTGTCCTATGCGAGCGTACTGGCTCATTCAGAATTGGCTATTCGACCAGTTGCAAGCTGCAGCCTTACAGCGCCAAGTGCAGCAACCTCTTAACCCATCAGCTAATAAACAAGATGAAGAGCCTGCGGTTAAGAAGATGAAGCAGGCAGTTAATGGAGAACCTCCTGCATTGTCCAAGGAAGCTCCATCGATCTGCGGCTTTGAGCAGTCTGAAATTCATCTAGGCGACCAGTACACACGGTTTCAGGTGAAGAAAATTGCAGAGTGTCAAAGTGATATTTGCCGGAGCAACTTTCAGTTTTTAGAAGACGGAATTTACGCTTGCCGTCGTCATGGAACGCCGCATATCTGCACTTTCGAGCAATGCGATCGTCAGAAGCTGCACATGGGTAGCTACATTTGCTGGGTTAGCGGAAAAGTTTATGGTCGTGAACGAGAACAAGCAGGCACGGACGTTCGTACTCGTCGCGTTGTCTACTCAGATGCCCAGGGCGACGAGAATTCGGTGGAGATGGAGGTTCCTGTAATGCTGCCACTAGGGAAGACGACAGAGTATCTATTGGAGGGAGACCCCTCTCTTCATAACTCTGGAAATGTATCGTCGCTGTCTCCACCCCCGCCAGACGAGAAAGCTTGGCACAAGCGGCGTCGTTCGGGTTCTGATGGCTGCAATGAAGATGACGTTCGCTCGCCGAAGCGCGAGGTGCGTAAGAGATTTAAACGGGACCGTGAACGCGAGCGAGAGACCTCACCGGTGCGCCAACGCCTGCATGAGCGCTTGGTGTCAAAGATCCAGCGATCAGAGACAACGTCGTTCCACATTTTCCTGAAGCTTCCGCCTGCCGTTGCCAATTTGCCGAAGGTGGCGCTGGAGCTGGAAGAAGCCGCCGATAGCAGCTCAGACGATGAAGATTCTCCATCGAAGGCAGCGGCTGATAAGGCGAACTTGCTGCAGATCTTCGTCAACTCGCACCATACTGTCAACTACATCAAGTACTGGATGGAAGAGTTGACGGAGCAGCAATTATCCATTTGGGATCAACAGATCTACTGGGGTGACACATTGATTGGTGAAGAGACGAACGTGATGGTTCTAGAGGAGCATGGTATCTCTGCGGGTTGTGTTTTGGAGCTGTGTCTCCATGATGACTGTCCGCTGCTGGTATCGACCTGGAACGGCAAGAACGCAGCAGCTGGCGGATGTGGTGGAGCTCCAGTGGAATACAACACGGTACAGATTTCAAAGGAAGCAGCAGAAGACTTGGATGATCTCCAGGAAGAGTGGGAAAACATTGTGGCTGCTGAGGAACAAGCTTTTGAAGAGTCTCGTCTTATGCGGAAGCGTGAGAAGTTAGAGCTACGTGGTGCTATAGAACATACCGAGATGCTTCGCTATGACAACGCCAAGTCTGAACCTCGACTACTGGGTGTGATACAGAAACGAGTTCTTAGTGACGGGGATGGTAAGCGAAAACGCCAACTCATTCCGCCAAGCAAAGGGAAAACAGAGAAGCAACGAGCTTTGGTGTCTATCAAGAGCGAGATTTTGGTGAAGGAAGAACAAGAGCAAGTTCCAAAGCGAGTGGAGGCGATGAGATTGCTATCGAACGATTCTCAGCCAGTGAATGGGAACAATAAGATGCATGCAAAACCTCAAAAAAATGACGACTAATTAATCCTCCAGAAGGGAAGCAAACACACGTCGGCAGCTCTCGAATAGAGACATTGTGATTGCGGTTGATGGGGCATGGAAAGCAACGCGGGCTCCAGCACCTTTGTACAGCGCCAATATCCCTTCCGTTCTACTCGCAATGGAAACAGCATACAGGTCAGCTATATAAACGCAGCCAGCATCATGACAAGACCTACCTGATCACTTGTGTGAGACCGTCAGCGATTCCACGGTAGGCTGCTGGGGTTCCTTCCGACGCGTACGCACGTTGAACCTGTGGTTACCACACCATCCGACAATTAGATTCAATGATGACAAGAGCAGCCTAATAGAATCCGTACCTGGAGGCGTAGCTTGATAAGGTCCAGTGGGTTGGTAAGAAACGATGCAGTGGCACCCGCAACAGCCGCACTTGCAAGAGTGTATTGCGCCGGCAGCTCCTGCATGTCGAGTCGTTTCTGCGCGAATGCCTTGGCTTTCTCGTAAAACATAAAATATAGTGCCGAGAAGGGCCCGAAAGAGAGCAGAGTAGCAACATAGCCCTTGTACAGACCGGCAATGCGCTCTGTGCGCGCGATCGTCTGCATAGCGTCCAGCGTGTTGCGGTAGTAGATTTTCCCTGACGCACTCGAAGACTGTCCTTGCACCTGCATGCGCTCCTTAATGACGTCAATAGGTACCCAAAGCACACAGCTCAGAGCCTCAGCAGCCATTCCAGCCCCTAAATACAGCAGCGTCGGACTGCCGTGGAAGCTTTCAATGCCCATCAGCGCGTCCTTGGAGACCTCGTACGACGTCATGTACAGACAAGTGGCAGGCGCTGAGCCCAGCATGCTCACACCCATACCGCGATATAGGCCTCGCAGGTGCTGCAAACTGTACAGTATTTGTTAGTTCGGATGCGGCTAGCTATCTCATTAGCTCGAGTGCAAGTACTAACCTGAAAGACCGGAGGTTGAGCTGCGATGTGATAGTTTGGCCCGTGGTCGTGCTGGCCTGCAGTCGAGCCTTGACGGTGTCCAGCGGGTGACAGAAGACGCGGCCGATCATACCAGCAGTAGCACTCCCCTGTTTGTATCGATTGTGACAAGGGTGAAGCTTAGGATCAACGCGGAAGCAGTGAAGTAGAGATGACAACGCACCAGTAGCGTGGGGAGCTGGCTTTGAGGCTACAAAGCGCGTCACAAGTTAACAAAGAGAGCGTGCAATATACGTTAGTTTACGAGCTTTTTGGGAAGGTATGTGTAGCTTCTGTCACTTGCTGCAGCAGCGTACGCACCGGCGAACTTCCATTGCCCCCCATTTGCAGTCAAAGTGTGCAACTGACGTTGTCAGGGGGCAATCACTTTTATAGGAACGGTCATTTATGAGACTCTCGGTGTTCTGTTGCCTCAGATCTGATAATCTACCTTATTTTCGAATTTTCCTCCCCATTTCAGCGAATCATCACCGACTCACCCATCCTCTTAGTCTGTCGTCTCGTTGTGCGTCTCAAAAGCTCCACCGTCCAAGTCACACGACCCAAGCAGCGAAGACCAACATGACCCGTGTGTACCTCGATTATAACGCCACGACGCCTGTGGATCCTTCCGTATTGCAAGCACTATTGCCATACCTCGGTCCGCAGTTTGGCAACGCGTCTTCATCGTACGCGCTGGGCCAGACTGCCAAGAAAGCGGTGGCCAATTCACGCACTCAAGTTGCGTCCATGCTTGGCGCTGCTGACCCGAGCGAGATCGTGTTCCTCTCAGGCGGCACAGAATCCATCAATTACGCCATCAAGGGAGCAGCACTGGCGGCCAAGCGCGAGAGCGGACGCAACCACATCGTCACGTCCTGTGTGGAACACATAGCAGTGTTGGAGACGTGCAAGTGGCTGGAGACGCAGGGCTTCCAGGTCACGTATCTGCCTGTGGATCGCTTCGGCTGTGTGCGCGTACAAGACGCACTAGATGCGCTTACGTCACAGACATGTGTGGTGTCCATCATGCTCGCCAATAACGAGGTGGGATCGTTACAGCCTATTGCGGAGATCTCTCGAGCTGTGCGCCAATTCGTGGAGGAGGAAGACGGCCGTCTGCCAATTGCAGTGCACACAGACGCCAGCCAGGCAATTGGAAAAGTGCGTGTGAATGTACAGGACCTAGGAGTGGACTTGCTCACAGTAGCTGGACACAAACTCTACGCGCCCAAGGGTATCGGCGCACTCTACATTCGTGAAGGAACAGTGGTGGACACGATCATCCACGGAGCCTCACAGGAGAACGGACGTCGTGGTGGAACGGAGAATGTGGCGCTCGTAGTGGCACTAGGCCAGGCCTGCGCACTGGTGGAGAAGAATCTGCACGAGTACGCTGTGATGATGCAGGAGAGCAGAGCGTTCCTCCTCGAGCAAATCCAGAAGCACTGCAGTCTCAGCAACGTCAGCTACCAGGTGAACGGCCATCCTGAACTCTCGCTTCCCAACACACTGAGCATCAGCTTTGAAAACATCAATGCGCCGTGTATTCTTGACTGTAAGTTTGTTATTTCCTGTGATACAGATTTCAATGTACTGACGACGTTGACTGTGTAGTGATCGAGGCCGACGGCATCTATGCTAGCGCAGGATCAGCATGCCACAGCCACAAACAAGACTGTGGCGACAAAGAGAAGAGCCCTGAGGGTCAGGAGGAACGCATCACCATTTCACACGTACTGACTGCCATGCACGTCGCCCCAGAGTTCGCCAAAGGCACGCTACGCTTGTCAGTGGGCCGCTCCACCGCACAGGAAGAGCTACTACACGCTGCTAACGCGATCCACAAGGCCATTCAACAACTTCTGGCTTAGCTCAGAACTGCACAGTCGTGCAACTATAACGTCTCCTTTTGTGACGCCCCATGCTCTTGTTTACATGTTCTAAGGACTGATATACTCAAATTTTACACTTAAGAAAAAACAAACATTGTTTTACTTACTGGTGCGCTGTCATGGCGCGAGTACACGTTTCCTGGCTATATGCTGCCGACTTTGTTCATTCATTTCATTCTTCTATCTCTCAGTAGCGCTTGGAGATCCAAGCTAGAAGCCACTTGAGGTGCGTGAGCATGTACTTGAGCGCTCGAGTCCACTGTTCGTCGTTACCAAGTGAGATCGGCAGACCTCCGATCTTACCACGCTCCACCTTGTACGGGAACTTCAGTGACGGTTCCTCCTTCATTGCGCGACGTCCTGCGTCCTCCACACACTCGAGAAAGAGGATCATGGCCTGATTAAAGCCACGACGTCGGAACATGCCGCCATCGCTGTAAAGACTGTACTCCTTGCCGTACATGTTAACCACACGAGAGAAGCTCCCACGCGGCACGAGACGATTGCGAGAAAACTCAAAGTTGGCGCGATCTGCAATTGTTGCGAGTAAGAGCACAGCCTGCCCCAATGCCGCGTTGATTTCCACCCATTCCACCGGTTTCGAAGGCAATCGACCGAGCCGCAGTCCGTTGATCGTACCAAAGAGACCATCGTGCCAGATGTGGAACACATCGTTGCATACATTGTAACGCTGGAGACGCCGTAGCATATCCGATGCATGCACTGCAAACACACCGACCGATTGGCGCTCGTCTCGACTCAGTCCCAACAAATGCTGCAGGAAAGCTCCTTCAGCGAATGTGCCATGGATCAACTGCTCAAGATCCATCCCTGTAGACCACAGCTCACGTCTCTTTGCCGTCACTTGGACAGTCTCGTCTTCGATGGCCTCTAATTCGGCCTTTAGTCGTCGCTCTTCCTCCTCCAAAGCTCGAAGCTCTGGGTCGTCGTGCCACTCATCGGCATCGTAGTCGCCATTTTCACAATACGTTCGCGCTGAAGCCCGCTCTCCGTCGGCAAATGCAGTCAAGAAACGCTCGTACTGGTCTCGATCATCCTCCAGCTCATTGAGCGCCCTAATAAACAGAGACACTCGGTTAGAGTCTCAACAAGCTAATAATTAACCGGAGTTCTTGTTCCAACGCACTGAGTAAATCGGTCGAGTACTGTGGCTTCGCAATCATGGCAAGTCGGCAGACTCTTTTTAAGAAGAAGAGTGCTGTACAGATACAAAAACAAACAGGTTAAATAGGTTAGAACAAGTCAAAGCACTTTATATAGGTGTATAGATCCACATGCCTGCAGTCCAGCAATTCCTGGAACCAACTGAGGTCGCTGCCGTCCATACGACGCTTGCGAATCAGGCGCCTCCGTCGCACAAGTCGCGCGTTTTCTTCTGTCTTTGCATCTTCATCTTTTACGCCTTCGTCAGCCTTTGCCTCCGTTCCTTCTTCTCCCGCCACGAGTGGCTCCTCCATTCTACCGAAATCAACATATGACTTGGCATACACCCACCCGTCCTCGTCACAGTTTGGGAGGGAGTGATCTACCTCCCAGTCGGAAATCCATAGATGCGGCTTGTTTAGCAGCCGCATAGGCACCACATCTGCAACATTCTGTCCGATATCTCCTCGATTGCAGCTCGTGAACGTTGCAATTCCATTCATGAGGTCGAATTCGGCAGGGACCCAGACCCCGACGTCGTCGCAGTTGTCCAGCCGCTGTCGTTCCCATACAATCTCCGGTACGACAGCTGAAGTCTTGTGCTGTTGCTGATTCAGTGAGTTCCTGGCTGCCTGTGCTGCTTCCTCTTCGTCGTCTGCGTCTGTGGTCTCCCCGTTATCTGTACCCTCGGTGAGGCGGGGCATTTGATCCTCGTCCTCGTCTCCTTTGCTGTCTCGCTGCTCGCATTGCTCCGTCGGGTGCTCGTAGGCCACAGGTCGTAACTTCATGATCTTCTCTTCAATAGACACAGGGCTGTACTGGAACTTGAGCAGCGCACCGCATTGGTGGCACGTGAAGAGGCTTTTACCCTCCATGGCGACGCGTCTACCACTCGGAACGGGACTTTTGGAGTACGGCGAGAAGGACGCGCTAGCTGAGGACGGAACTGGGGAAAGACTCGAAGCTGACGTCGCTCCAAGGGCCCCTGTGGTGGCAGGAGGCCGCGGTAGCGACGTGATGATTAGTGGCGGTTGCAGTGAGCCATTGCTGCTCATTGGGACGATGTTTCCTTGGGCTACAGATCTCGGTTGTGACCGAAAACACACCTAAGTGAAGACAATTAAGTGCAGATGAAGAAGCGATGCAGATGGCGATGTTGGATGCGACCTAGACAGAGGAATCCAGCGGAGAAGTAGGGCGCCTCGGCGTACTCAAGACGCCGCAGATGGTGGAGTACAGTAACGCCACCTCTGTATCGCAATCTAACGATTGGCTAAATTAAACGCTGATTGGGTAAAAATAGAATTTGCTAAGTACGGTACAGTAATATCGCCACAGGACCTTTTTGAGGACAATCTGTCCACATACACATTGGAGTGGCTATGCCGATCACATGACTACGCATGATCCGCCAGCCTTCGCCGTGTCCTGTGCCTGATGCTGCGCTGGGTTCTCGTCCTCGTCCTCTTCATTCTCGTCAAGTGGGGCTGTTGGTGGCACTGCAGCCTTCTGCTTGGGGCTACTCGTTCGAACCGGTGCGTTTTCACTCTTTTGCTTACTACCACGCCCCACCATCTTGGCGAAAGGGTCGTCAGTCTCAGCCTCCTGCTGCAACTGCTGCTGCGACGCTGCCACCACCTCCATAGGTACACCCATCTTGGTCGCCTCAAACTTCATCTGCTCCCGTAACACCGCCTTCTTCACGGCGTCGTTCTTGAATGGCACTACAGGAACAACAAACAGTACACCAATCAGCATCCCACTGTTACACATGTACGAAAAAAACATCTCCGTGCCAACCGTACCAAAGGTGTCTTCGACTGCCTCGGCGTCCAGATCTGCGGGTTTATCCCATCGATCCTCGCCAGTCTCCGTGTTATGGTAGTAGGTTCGTCCACGCTTCGATGTGAGCACCGCCCAGCGTTTCCGCGTGGGTTTCTTCTCTACCGCTGCTGCCCCCACGCCGTCGAACGCAACGGTCTCCACCTCGATCCCTCTGCCATCCGCTGTCACTACGGCCTCGTACGGCCGCCCACACACCGTACATTTGCCCAGCGCCAGCATGTCCTCCTTGGGGACATTTACGCGGCAGCCCTCGCATCTGATGAAGCGCTCGTTCAGCGTTCCGCTCGCCGCGCCGTTCACACCCCGTGTCGCCATTTTCTGACTCCGATAATGGCTCACTGAGAAAAACTGCGATATACCGGTTCTTCTCGCAGTATGCAGACGGGGCGCAAAATCCTTGGCTGTGATTGGCTGGTTCATCACGATATTTCGAAGCGACGTTCAGCAGTGCTCGTCATAAAGCGAATTGGCCTAAGGAGGTCAAGTGCGGCAAGTTCAGCGGTCCACAGCATCTCATCAATTGTCCCCAAGTTGGCAAGACGTATCCAAGATGATCATGGACGCCGTGTGGTGCGCTGCTGGCGTTGCCTCTTAATTCTCTGCTTAATTCTCACTTCACTGCGTTAACTCTGTGGACAGGTGGGCGACGACCAAGGTGGACGAGTCGGTAGTAAACCCCGTGGCCTCGCGACTGGCCGGGTCTGTGGCCAATCCGGCCGTGCTGAGTTTCCTGTTGTGGGACCGCCTCAAGACGCTCACACCGCAGCGTGCGCGCGACTTGACGCGGCTTTTGGCTACAGCGCTGTCCAACGCATTGGGCGTGTTCGGGGCCGAGCGAGGCCAGCAGTTGGGGGCCAGCACGAAGCAGTTACAAGACGATTTTGTACGCGCTGCCAGTTCCCGTAGCGGTCGCGACGTGGTACTCAACAGCGTGGCCACAGTGGCGAAGGTGGCGCAGGCGCTCAATACACCGGAGACCAAGGCGGCCACACAGCAGCTGTTCCAGACGCTGCAGTCTGTGGTGGACTTCTTCGCCAGTGATGATGGTCGCCAAATCATCTCCAGCACGAGTGAATGCCTTACTAGTGCCAGTGAAATGGCAGCGTCCCCAGAAGCTTCCATCTTCCTGGCGGAGCTGGCCACTAATATGCTACACACGCTCGAGAGCGAGGAGAAACGACGTCAGAACACGCAGCATGAGGAACCAACCGTGAGGGAGGAGACACAAGAGCAGGAGCTCATAGATCGAGAGCTGGGACGCGAGATGCAGACCAACCGGGAGATGGACGAGAAGCATCCATACTCTCCTACGTCTTCAATGGCCGACACACGGTGGAGTTTCGATACAGAGTCAATGCCGTCGTCCTCGGCGCCAGGTACGCCTATGACCGGCATGTACACGCCTCGAGCGTCAGTCGACGGGCCGATGCTCTCGTCATCTCCAATTCGACCGGGACAGCGACGTCGCGTATCGATCTCTTCACCTGCAGAGAAGCACAGCGGCTACCGCTCGGCACGCATCGAGAAGGAGGTGTTGCTTAAGATGGGGGTCGACCCGTCGATGCTCAGCGAGATCCAGCGCGTTCTTGATGTGATCGCTGCGGACGAAGAAGAGAAAGAGTGTGCGGAAATGCAGCGTCGACGTGAAGAAGCTGAATACGTCGCCAGTTTAGTGGTCCCGGAGGACCAAGCTGCAGGCATCGCTGACGTGGGCATTGCACACGCATTCGGCAATGATGATGAGGAGAAAACCGACGAGGTTATCATCGATGAAGACGCATCGTCCCCAACTCCTGTAATGCTACCTGAATGGCACGAAGAGCCTTTACGAGAGGCACTTCGCCGTCGTCACGCCTATGCTGCAGCTGTGACGGAGCAACGTGACGCTGCTGAGCGTCAAGCTCGCGAGATGGCAGCAGTGCTGGCCCAACGCCACATTAAGCACGGCGAGCTGCAACCTGCGGATGTTGCAGCTTGCCAGATTATCGCCAGGATGCTCGTCTATGGAGTGGCATTGTTCCTGCTGCTGTCTGGCTACCTGCTCACTCGCAACCTCTTCAATTGAGAAGCATGTTGGTACATGTAGGTTCCTTTATTATTATCGACTCTAATCAGGTAAGAGTTCTAATTTCCAGATCTCTATTTTAATTTCCAGATCTCTATTCTTTAGAATTGGGACTTGCTGTTGATTGACTCAATGTCGCGATGGTATCCAAGACATCGCGGACAGGTTCAAAACGTTGGTCGAGTTCACGCTGGATGACAGCGGCCGAATGACCCATACGCGTCCAGATCCTCACCTGACGGAAATAGTCGTCGTAGATCTCGGCAGCGCACACAGGATGGAATTTCTCGCCTGCATCCTCTGCTAGTTCGTCCAGATGCTCAAGGCCAAAAGGTTGGTTGATCAGCACGCAACATCGTCGTGGATCTGACAAACCATCGCCAGAAGTTAAGGTGGCATGCACAGCGTTGATGGTAGCCGCAGTCGTCGGGTAATACAGCAGACGAGGAAGCTTTTCTGGCTTCTTACCTCGTCGTGCAGCGGGCGATTCATCGCTCTTATCTTTGCCATTCTCTTTATCCTTCACTGCTGACTTCTCTGGTGTAGTGCTCTTGTTGTGCGCGGAATCCCCGTTCTTTTCAGCTATCTTAGAGTTTTCGTTGTTCTCTTCAGCTATCTGAGAGTTATCGTTGTTCTTGTTTTTAGAATCAAGAACAGGAGCACGTGGTCTCCCCTTAGCCCACGATGCTGCTGCCAGTGCAAGTTCTTGTTCCTCCAATTCTTGACAATGCCGTTCCTCCTGTTCCTCTGCTTCAGCTTTCATCTTTGTCTCTGCTGCGATCTCAGCTCGCTCACGCTCTTCGAAATCCACAGCTTCAGCTGGAGTTAGGACAGCATATCCATAATGTTCCAAGAACAGTTTCAGCGGCGTGAAGTTGTGAGGCGTCACATCCAGAACCAGCGTCTTCCTGTCGTCGACAAAGCGTCCACACCACTTCAGAACCTCCAGCAGTAAAGGTGCTTTCGAGTCAATTAGCACATTCACCTCTTGCTTAAGACGCATTCGTTCACGCAGCGTGACGAACGACTCGCCACCGAGATCACAGGGCTGACGAGAGTCCCCCAACAGCACACAAAGACTACGAAATGGTCGTTTAAGTGCCAGTGCTGCTTGTCGCTCCACAAGACGATAGGCTTGTGAAGCATCTTCGATCGAGAGCTCTTCGTCCTTCGGTAGTGGCGTCTCGGGCATCACTCGTAACTCGAAGGCTCTATCTTTCAGTGTGGCATCCGCCTCGATGCACAAAATGTACTTGCCCGTAGTAGTACGAAGTAAGAAGGACCCATCAACATGGAGACCTGTCCACGAGTGACGGAAACCGTACTGTCCCTTAGGTACCCGCCAAATGCAAGGCACTCGTCCTCCGAGCGACCACTGCGCCACAAGATGTCGATGTCGCTCTGGGTCCTCAAACACAGGCAGGATATGCGCTCCATAACGCGCCATCGACACCTCCGTGACGTCGCTTTCTTTACCTGCAAGACGGATAATGCGTTCCTCAATCCCCTGCAATGGAGGTTCGAGTCCGTTGTACACGTTTTCCAAGTATCCAAACGCCGCTGTTCCACTCGCTCTTACAATGTTTAGCAACTGAGTTACGACCATGAAACCCGCCAACATGGCTCGAGTAGTGAACACGCTCATGATCCTCAGCTGCAGTGTTGCATCAGCGCTTGACGTCGCTGGATGGAACGCTCTTAATAACTGCGTTGGGTCTAGTCCTAGTGATTGAGCCACGAGCTCCGGCGCCCGCGTCTCCCAGATGCAACTGGCCAAGAAGTTATGCGTCGCGTACTTATACATAAACAGTAATGAGTCCACAGTAAATGGCTGCACGGAATCTAGCAGCAGATACGCCTCGTAGGCCGACAGACCCATCACGCCACTGGAGCATACGCCAAGAAGCGCTAGTCTCGCGGGCTGTGCGATGCTGTGGACGGATACCCGTGCAATACGGAGAAGCACCTGCATTTCGCGGGACAGGGTCATGGCATGGCGGTCGATTACAGAGCGACCAGGGAACTCTTGCTCGGGTTTCCAGACCACGTCGCCCAGCCGCTGCTCGTTGTTGAGATTGGCCGCAGCTTTGGGCTCCTCCGGCTTGTTGGGGCCGGAGAAGAGCGGCGGCACTGCGTCGGGAAGCGGCTTCAGTCGGCGCAGCGAGGCGTCCACCGTGGACTCCACGCCGCCGCCAAGCCAGACACGGCGCAGGGAGCGCAGCATGATGTGAAGTTGAAGCAATGAAGATTTTTATTGTGGGGAACAATAAAAGACGGTGGTTTAGGCTAAAACATAGAGGAAATGTGGGAGGGAATGGTTTCATAATGGAGGGGGTGACTCGGAGCATCATCACTGTTACTCGATAGCACACTGAATTTCGCCATGTGGTTGAAAAAGAATATCCGTGACACCCATCCTGGTAGACGATGCTAGAGAGTTCTCCAATTCGTATGCGAAAATACACTGCCATTTCAAACCAAAGATTGAAACTGTCAGCTTTACATGTACGAATGGTACAGTGCAACGCAGCATACTAGTAACGTTTTGGTAACAACTCGAGATGTGTCCTTAAATACAGTGAATATTGCCTACAGACTGCAGCTCCGTATCCCCATTTTCACCCATGCGTTTTCGCCACGACGAATATGATGCGGACAACGACCATAAACATGGCTCGCAATGCCATGGCGAAATTCTCACCGAATTTTCAATAGCGATGCCGTACCTTTGGCCTTATACATGGATCTAATTTACCCACCTCTCGTGGTGCTATCGATAAGCACAAGTACGACTTCGTACATATCGTCACTGCATAAGCCTTCGGTCTGATAATACTGTTTTCATAAAATACAAAATCATGAGGCGTGTTCGAACTGAAGACGAAAGTTGGCTTCGCCGCTTTCGGCCAGCACACATGTTTGGGCATTTTCCGATGCAAAGCTCACTTTTGTTCACGGTTGCACGGTTCTGTCAATGCGAACGCATAAGCAGGGTCATTTCAAGACATAAGAGTGGCGGTATTCGGTTCAAGTCCAGTTCAGCGCAACCTTGGGCTCCGCTACCGTCCGATGGATCAGCAGCACTGTGCCACCATTTGCCCGATTTACCTGTTCGAGCAGCACCATGGACTCCGCTCAGCTGATCCGCTTCCTTCGCACGGCATGTCCGCTCGGCGCCTCGCTCAGCGTCCTGGTAACGATGGTGAGCTGCGTCATTATCGTCAAGGTGAACAACATTTGGGTCAGCGGACTTACATGGCCGTTCCTCTCGGACATGGGGCGAGGTGAGGTGCTTTGTTTTTTTTTTCGGTGTTTTGTGCGGTTGTGGACTTGAGCTGACAGTATTGAAAACATTTCTTTGATGCTGTTGCGTAGACTACCCGGCCTACTACGTGTTCGGTACGGGACTCACGCTCGTGGCCATCCTGCTCGTATTCACATGGACATTCAACTGGCGCTACCACATGACGGCGTTACCGGAGGATGCCACAGTATACCGCGTGCTTTCAACCATTAGCTGGATCGCCGGTGTCCTGGCCAACCCAGGTCTCCCCGTTCTGGTGAGGATGAATTTGATCGTGTCGACCAACTAAAAAAGCTCAGCCACTTACCCCTTACAATGCTCATTCGTGACAGGCCTTTTTTGACACGTCCAAGCACTCGAAGCTCCATGCTGCAGGCGCTGAGTGGTTCTTCTACATTGAAACTATTGCTGTTCTCCTCAACGTATGTGAATAACTGGAACAAGAGCTGCAAGAGGACACCATTGCTCTAACACCTTGGGTGATTGTAACTTTACAGACCATCGTAAGCTACAAGCTGTACAAGATGCTGACGGGATTGCAGATGGACCTAGAAAACGCTTGCTCGACTATGGGAGCCAAGATGCAACGAAGGAAAAAGACGTTGAAGATCCAGGTCATCTTCTTCTCGCTCTTCTTCGTAGCGTTCCTCATTTACATGCCCATCGGAACTTCAGTGGCCCCGCAATCGCAACGTCTCTCTATTGACGACTGCATTGATAAGGGACTCGGCGAGACCTACTGTGAGGTGACGATGCGCCTCAATTCGACGTCTACCACGCTTTACGACGATGGTACGTTTTTTATTTATTTATTTTTAAGTATTTACGCTTAGGAATAGCTATTCTAACGATAGCTTTTCACTGTGCTGATTTACAGAAAAGACGTACGGCACGAGCCAAATGCGTGCTGCCGCCCAGCTTGCGTGCATCCTGACGCTGGTTGGCTACTCAGCTTCCTTTATCACCAACGACTACGATGATTCGGAAGGTCAGGACTTCACCCCAGATGCCAAGATTGCCGTGCTGCAGTAAACTAACGTCGGTAGATTTATCTGGAACGGATGAAAATTAGAAAATGGTAAGCTAGAGCTTTTGTTCGACTTGTATGCTGTAGACCTCGTACTTGTTGTGTCGGAAGCTTGTGTTTCGACTTAAGTTTCACGTAGAGAGTTCTGCGCCCATGGACACGAGTTTATGAGTACAAGAAAGAATCGAATAATCGAGTCTCGGTCTATCACTTCACGGTGTCTGTTGTGCTAACGAAGCTGAGCAATGCCAACTGCTGCGTTAGTGCGTGTGCTTCGGGCAGTGTGTCTCTGGCGGCTACGTTCTGCATTCTCGTGACGATCATAACATGCGTCGTGGTTGTCAAAGTGGACTCGTTTGGCCGTTTTTTTTTTTTCAAAAAAGGGGAAAAAAAAGCAAAACGAAAAAACCAATAAACTCCTCCAACCCCGGCAACGCAAAACCAACCGCATACTACGTGTTTTGTGCTGGTCTTACACGCGTGGCGGTGCTGCTGATGTTGACATGGTTGTTCAACTATCGTTATCATGTTTTGACATTACCACAGAATGCGCCATGCCTTCAAGTGACCGCGCTCGTTTGTTGCGTATATGGAGTAGTCGCGAATGCGGGTTTGCCGGTACTGGTGAGTTGCGTCTTTATGATAAAGATAAAGTTTATCTACCAGCTATCCTAAGGATGGCTATCTGTGCTTTCTTGATCGAACTACTTAAACACCTCTTTAGTATCTCCACTGTACTTAAGTATGCATTATTCAACACTGCTCATTATCCGGTTGTTCATTCAGCTGCAACTCTGTGGTTTTTCTGCTTCGAGACGATCGCCATCGTCCTGAATGTGAGTGCTTGTAGGATAGTTCTTTGCTTGAGAGCTATTCTGCTTACGTTTCAATGTTCGGGCGCACGGACTGTCCTGAGCTACAAGTTGTACACGGCTCTGAGAAACCATCTCACCGGTGCAAGATCGCTGACGCAGAGAGCACACAAGAGAAAGAAGACGCTGGGCACGACTTACTGCACTGATACCATGCCACTTGATGACACGAGAACAAAAGTCGACGATGACCGTATGTGTGTAAGCGTTATGAGTTGTACGTCGTTACCACTTTATAACCCCTTGTTTACAAATGTAATCCACTAGGGGACACGTTTACCGCAAGCCAATTGAGTGCAGGTGTGCAGATCGCTTGCATTCTCTCACTGGTGGGCTACTCAATATCACGAACTAGTCTAGCTAGAAGCGCTACACCGTGTAGTACACGGGTGCGCCATTCCGACGAAGAAAGCTTACTTGGGTGACTTCAAATGGATGTGTGGCTTATCCAGCAGTATGCGTGTTGAAGTTGTTCGTGTGGAACTTCCCCGCCGTCGGATAATGGTATCGATTTGCTCTAACTGTACGCGCGAGCGCCGTCTGATGGAGGCAGTTGCCCAGTAACAAACTTGTTGGTTTGTCGTTGTGTGTAGGAAATCTGTCGAACATTTGCTTCAGTCCGCCGTCGGCAAAAGACGAACCGTGGTTTGCCGACGACGGAAGCAGCAGTGGCAACTTTGGACACTACCAGTATCGTTTAATAACATGTAGACCTGTCCGACGGCGGCACACACACACATTTGCACTGATACCGATGGCATTGCACGCGATCGTTCTTAGCAACGACCTCGTTTGCCATTTTCACTTTCACATTCATTCGCACACTTGAGCAAACCCCTCAGCGACCTTCACCTCGACAACGACGCGATGTCCAAGCGTTCCTTTTCTCCATCGAAGCTGCCCGTGACGATTCTCACGGGTTTCCTCGGAAGCGGTAAAACGACGCTCTTGAATCACTTACTAACCGAAAACCACGGCAAAAAGTTCGCTATTATCGAGAACGAGTTCGGTGAAGTGGGCGTGGACGACCAGCTCATTCGTCAAGTCACCAGTCCAGATGACATCGGTGGAGGCGACTCCAGGAGCCGCAAGTTCAATATGGGCGAGGAGATTCTCACCATGAACAACGGCTGCATCTGCTGCTCCGTACGAGGCGATCTCGTTCGGCTGATCGCTCAGATCCTCAAGCGCAATGGAGACCGCAACCAGCTCGACGGGATCATCATTGAGACCACCGGGATGGCCGATCCTGGTCCCGTTGTGCAGACGTTCTTTGCCGAACCTTTGGTGGCCGCGACGTGCGAGCTTGACGGCATCATCACCGTCGTCGACGCGAAGCACATTTTGCAGCACCTTCGTCCTGGCAACGGAGTGGAATACGAGTGCGAGGAGCAGATCGCATTTGCCGATCGCGTCCTACTCAACAAGACGGATCTGGTGAATTCGACCGAGCTCAAAGAGGTTCATTCTCGAATTCGCGACATTAACAGTGCCGTGTCTGTCATTGAGTGCCAACACTGCCGGGTGGACCCTGCACTGTTACTCAACGTCAAGACTTTCGATCTCGACTCTATCTTGAAAAGGCAGCCCGACTTCCTCCAAACGGACAAGGAAAAATCCCATGAACACAGCCACGGTGAACACAAGCATAAGCACAAAACTGAAGGAGAGCAGCACCACACTGGACACAAACACAAGCACTCACTAGTGTCCTCTGTGGGCCTTAGTCTTCCCGATCCGATTTTGGTGGCGCTCTTGGAAGAATGGATCGATGATATCTTGGAGACGGAAGGCGATGACCTGCTGCGCTACAAGGGCGTGGTGAATGTAGCCGGTATTGACAAGAAGTACGTTTTCCAAGGCGTGCACACACTGTTCAACGGCCGGTTCGCTGACAATTGGGCCCCAGGCGAGAAGCGCGAGACGCGGTTCGTTTTCATCGGTAAAAACCTCGACCGCGAAGCGCTGACGGAAGGATTCCTGGCCTGCCGAGCTACAAAAGACCTCCGGTTCCGAGTGGGAGACCGGGTCATGGCTAACACTGGTGACGATGGTTTCCAGGCCGGCACCATTGTGCAGCTCTGGGAACAGGGCAACCCGTACGCGATCCAACTCGACAGTGGTCGTAAAATCTGGGCACCAGTTGATGAGGTTGGACTTGTACGAGCGCTGGAGGTTCAACAACAAGAGGAGAAGACTAGGCAACCCCTCGCTATGGTCCACATACTAGCATGAGTAGCGAAGAGTTGCATATTTCATTGAGCTGAAGTTACAGCCTGTATGATCAAAACACGTTATTCATATGTCAACCACTCTTGTTTCGCATCCCATAATTCAGTTCTGAAGGCGAGGAAGTAATCGATGCGTACGAGCTTAAGATCTTGAATTATGGATTACTTCTATTTGCCTCAGTTATTCTAGTTCATTCACATGTCAATTCGGAGATCATTGTTGCTCAAAGGAAAACATGCCTTTGTCGTAACTACAGTAGTTTGGTCGTGAAGACGACAATTCTGCCCACTGCCTGCCTTAAAGGCAGACGAAGCGCGATGGCCGATCGCAGTGTACACATCGGTTCAACCGATTCGGTTGTCTGTAACACGACTCCGTACACGTACAATGCCACGAAGTTGAAGGCTGTGCGCGGTTGAACATTCCGCGATGCTCGGAAACGGGCTGTGGCGCACCATTTTGTGGGCAACGCGTTGCCACGTAAACCTGGAAAAGCTTACTTGGTTCAACCTGCTGAGCCAGCGTGTACGTCGTGGCATTGCAGTTGCCGACGATTGTGTGTGCGTTCAAAAACACAAATCAGTTGTACTGAGATGGAATATTGCTGTACTTGCATTAGGACGGATTCCTACGAAAATGAAGACAACCGAGTGATACTACGTTAAATTCTTCACGAGCTCCTGAGGAAATACACGCTTGACAAGGCCGTATGTGCAGTGTTGCTTCGATTTCGAAGGCAGTTGAAGTTGTTGTCGTATTGACAGGACCGCGACTACTCCAAGAGGCTTTGCACCGTGGGCTCGAGCAGCGACGCTGGTCTTGTTGTCGCCGGCAGCGAGCGGAGCCCATAAAGTCAATCATTGCGGCGAGCGACCAACACTGGCCACTCTACATCGAAAAGTCCGGAGGATCTGAGCCCGCACGACTTGATCTGTCGTGCGCCGCTGTGTCGCATCGAGCAGAAGGCCGAGAGAAAACCGGCGCGTGGAAATCAGCAGCGAGCGCAGCGCGAAGAAAAGAAATGCCGCCGCCAAAGAATCCGTGGCGGCATGAAATTTGGCATGTCCCGGAGAAAACAAGGTATCTTTGCCACACTTGGCTTTGCCAAATTGGCTTCGATGTGGATTTTTCGAAGACGGATCCGATGCCTTGTCGGCCCTTTATATGCACCTGACGCCGTCGTGGGTTTGCGACCCGTTGCCAACCATACTGAATCGAAGTGAAAACTCGCTCGACTGCAGGCCCACGGTCCGAGGGCTGGGGCTCAGAGGCTTTCTGGCCGTGTAGAGAGGGAATGGAGTTTCGAGCAGAAGAGTGCAGGTCGGGCACAAGTGTAAATCGACTGAAAGCTTTTTGGCAAGAACAAGCCAATCGAGAAATCGCGAGACAGGCGCGGAGCAGATCGGAACCGCCTCGGCTGATCGCAGCAACAAGCACAACAACAGACCGACCGCGCGCAGTTTCGCATCGAGGAGTGAACCCAGTACAAGCGTTGCTGGTCGCGCCTAAGGAACAAGAAGAAGAAGAACAAGAGACCAAAGAGACCGCGGAAGATCGCGTCGAGCCCGAGAGCGAGCCCACCCCGTCCCCCCTACGTGACAGCACCACAGACAGCATGGCCGGCTACAACGAGGAGTGGGTCGACGTGCAGAAGAACACCTTCACCAGAGTAAGCGCGTCCACTGAGAGGGGGTTTCGAGAGAGAGAGAGAGAGAGAGAGAGAGAGAGAGAGTATCTAACTGTTATGCTGTTACTGTAGTGGGCCAACACGTACCTGTCGCGCAAGCGCATGACCATCGATGACCTCTACGAGGACTTGAAAGACGGTATCCGCCTCATCTCGCTGCTACAGATCATCTGCCGCGAAAAAGTGTGCCGCGTACGTCACAAAACATGCAGTCAATGATGTTAAAATGCTTTTAGTGCTAATTAACATCTTTTATTTGACAGAAATTCAACAAGAAGCCGCGCATGCGCATCCAGAAGATGGAGAACCTCAACTTCGCCTTCGCGTTCATGCAAAAGAAGAACGTCAACGTGACGAACATCGGCTCTTCGGACATTTTGGATGGCAACAACAAGCTGGTGCTGGGCCTCATGTGGACGCTGATCAAGGCCTTCCAAGTGGCCGAGATCGACGTGGAGGGCGTCTCCGGCAAGGACGGACTGCTGCTCTGGGTCAACCGTTCGCTAGCCGACTACCCCACCGTCGAAGTCAAGAATTTCTCTGGCAGTTGGGCTGACGGCATGGCCTTCTGCGCTCTGATCCACCGCTACGCGCCCACCCTCATCGACTTCAACTCGCTGAACCCCAAGGACGCCCAGACCAACGTCAAGCTCGCGTTCGACATCGCTCGTGAGAAGCTGCGCATCCCGCAGCTGCTGGAGGTGGAGAACGTGGCCGGACAAGCCAAACCGGACGAGAAGAGTATCACCACGTACGTGTCTCTGCTCTTCAAGGAGTTCGCGTCAGGTGTGCAGAAGAAGAAGGCGGTGACGACGATCTCCAAGGCGCTGAACATCGCACAGCGTCATCAGGAACTGGCTGCGGAGTTCAACAAGAACGCGTCGGGGCTGTTGGAGTGGCTACAGCAGCAGACGGAGCGTTTCCAGACACTCAGTCAGCCTCGTCATATTCCTGACATCAAGGAGGCGCTGGCTCGCCATCTCGAGTACAAGAAGAACGAGAAACCTCCTCGTGAGGCGCAGTTTGTGGCCGTTGAAGGCTGTGCTGGACGCTGGATCGCCAGTTGCAAGAACAACGGACGCGCAGTGCCCAACTTAGACCCTCCCATTGAGAAATTGCAGGCAATGAAGGCGCATCTAGACGAGCTGGAGACTGCGTTCGAGCTGAAGCTGCGCCAAAACTTGGAAAGTTACCAGAAGACGGAGATTTTCCTCAAGAAGGTGGTCAAGGACTTGGAAAAGGTTGAAGCCTGGGCGAAGGAGAAGGAGGCATTGTCTCTGTTTGCTGAGGACCTGCGTGTCACGTCCACTGCCGACGCTGAGGAGAAGCTTGAGAGCGTGGCCTTCTTGCAGAACATTGAGCTCCCACGCTATAAGCAGCTCTTGGCTACAGTCGTGAGCGAAGCTGATGGACTCTCGGAGGAACACAAGGACACGAAGGCCACGCTGGAGCGTGTGGAGGCCATGAAGAACTTCGTGGCTATGGCTGAAGACAAGGTGGAAGGCGTGAAGATTCGCCTGCAAGAGTGTCTGCGTGTGCAGCAGGATATGGACGCTGTGGCCAAGGACGCCAAGACTCTGATGCGCAACCTCAAGTACGTTATTGAAGAGATGGACGAGGAAGTGGAGGCAGCCACGAAGCTCCAGGACGTGTCAACAGCTGGTGTGGTTGCTGCCAAGCACCAGTTCGACACTGTGTTGGTCCCTAAGGTGCAGAACGCTGTGGTGAGCGAGAACGAGAAGCTGATTGAGAAGAAGCAGATTCTGGCTGAAGCTGGTCGTGAAAGCGACGTCGCGCTCATCGAGAAGACGAATGCTCGTGTGCAGAAGCTACTGGACTCGTTGGCAGAGAAGCGTGGCTACTACGAACAGGAGCTCGCGACTGTGGAGAAGCGCGACGAGGTCTGCCGTGAGTTTGCCAACTTGTCTGCCCGCATCAAGGAGCGCTGCGCTCAGAGCACGCAGTCAATCAATGTGGTCGAGGGATCGCTGAAGGACCAGTTCAACTCGATGGTGAAGCTTCGTCACCGTTTGTTCCGCGCTAACACTGGCGTTGCGCTGGAGGAAGAAATAGAGGAGAAGCCTGAAGACCCGGAGATCACGGGAGTTGAGACTTCTGCTGCTCAGGAGGTCGCTAAGCCCGCCGCTGAGTCTGTCGCCCCGGAGAGTGAGGAAGGCGACAAGTCGACGGATGTGGCCACTGAAGTTGAGGAAGCCAAGGCCAAGCAGGTCGAGGAGGTTAAGGCCAAGGCTGCAGAGATCATCACTCCCCTCACCGAGGACATGGAGAAGCTGGAGCGTATTCACGAAGAGTTGGAGCGTCTGCAGGTGCACACGAACCCATTCACGACCGACACGATCCACGGTCTGCGTGCGCAGTTCACATCGCTTGAGACTGCTGTCCGTGACAAGGTCAAGTCGCTTGAGAAGGAGTTGGCTCTGAGCGAAGTGGGCAGTCTGACTCCCGAACAGGCGAAGGAGATCAAGGAAGTGTTCGACCACTTTGACCTGGATAACGACGGTGTTCTAGCTCGTGATGAGTTCATCATGGCCTGCAAAGGTTTGGGTCTCAGTCTGAGCGAAGACGACTGCCACGACTACTTTGACAAGATCGACGAGGAGGACAACGACGAGATCTCGTTCGAGGGATTCGCCACTTTCTGTACGTTGCAGCTGCAAAGTGGTTCCACCAAGGACGACGTGCACGAGGCGCTGGACATTCTCACTGGTGACGAACTCACGCTTGAGCAGATCGAGGAACGCTTCGACGCAACCCAAGTCGAGTTTATCAAGAAACACCTTCCAGAGCTCCTGGAGGCCGACGGCAAGTCGGTGGACACGGACAAGTTCACGGACTTCATCTTCAGCGTGTAAACAGCTACGATTCAAGACCGCAGCCTCGTCAGGTTCAGGTGGTATCGTGTGCTTGAGCCTCACTTTTTTCAAGTCGCTAAATTTTTTATGGCTCGAATTTTTTTAGATGAAAACCAAATTTTTACTATGACAAATCAAACGTGTAGGAGACGATGACCGGTTGGTTGTCGTCTCGTTCCACAGCTTTGCCCTCTTTTGCGTCTTCGTTGTGTTTGGATCGACGGCTCTTCTTACTAGTTGAATTCGCTTCTTTGGCCACGGCGCGTTTGGCATCGTCAATGGAGTAGACGTGGCCTCTGCGTAGTCCGGTGAAGTAAGTGGTGACTCGCGGTGGATTCGTCCCTTGTGTCTTGCTGGTTTGGCAGCTTACGTCAACCGGTAGATAAACCTGAGTATCGACTTCGCGACGGAAGCTGCTGAGTGCTGTTTGTGCGCCCACAGTGCGGCAGTGTCGGAGATTGGCGATTTTGATGGCTTTGCGACGGAGATTCCACTCGTTCCAATCGTAGTTGTAGTCAATGTGCTTGTCCACAAAGTGCGTGGGTGTGGCTGTGCTAGCGTCCACTTTCTGCGACGGCGGAGGGGCCAGCAACGGATGCACCCCACGAGCTCCTTCAGCACGGAATCGATGACACATTTTGAGCAGCGAAGACAGCGTGATGTTCGGGAAAGACTCTTGCAGACGCAGCAGGTAAATCAGCGCTGGTTGACGTGCTGCACGACGTAGAACTCCCTGGACATAGCGCCGTGGATGAATCATGAACTCTCCTAGTGCACGTTCATTGACGAAGACGTGGTAGGCGTTGCGGTACTGCACGACTCCAAGCGACGGATCTCCAGGAAGCAGCAAACCTCCACGCTCCACTACTGTCCATGGACAGAAACCTTGATACTCGAGTGGCAGTTGCATGAACTCCGGTGTTGATTCCACTGGCATTCGAATGGGAAAACCTGAACCTTCTTCTTCATTGGGATTGCTGTTGTCTTCGTCGCCGTTTAAGTCTTCACCTTCCACGCCAAAGCTCCGAGTTTTACCATCAGCGGTCAGTTGACTTTCAGCTGGAAAAGTCTCGACATGAGAGAAGAGATCTTCAGTCGGAATGGAACCTCCACGTCGTGCTTGTCGTACAATGGGCGATTCTGACGATAACGTACGTGTGAACGTCGATTTGAAGCGCAGTAATGAGCGTAGAGCTCGAGCACGAGCCTGTAGCAACTCGTGCTCTTGGTGCAACTCGGCCCATGAACGAGACACGGCTTCAAACAGTGGATACACATGGGATTTTGGTAGCGATGTACGTGCCCCCACGAGGTTTTGCAGAGCGCTCATATCTGCCTGGAACATCTGCAGTCGTGTGCCTACCTTCTCGTGGGAGAACGCGATATCTTCTTCGAGACTTTGCAGGTAGGAGAGGAACTGTCTTCGATTGCTCAGTTCATCTTGCCATCGCGCGATTTCATCGAGACTCGGTGGTGGTTCTAAGGAGTTTGCATCTTCTCCTGCTCCCAGTTGGTGATGCACATGCAAAAGCACCTCAGTATACTGTGTACAGATCTCATTGGCGTCTCGAACCTCGTCTCGCACTAGTTTTGCCAACGCGGCGACGTTTTCCTCAATGTCTCGCGCACTGGCTGCTATACCAGCGCCACCTTTACCCAGTTCCTTGTTGAATAAGCGAATTCCCTCAACGATGCGCATGAGCTCATCCAGTTGGAAACGCTTATCCTCAGGAGACATCGTCGCAAAGGACTTCAAGCCAATACGTGGGAAAACGCTCTCGAGCGCTGCAGCTACCTCCTTTTCCATGGCACGACGCTCTGCTGGTTTACTGAAACTACTGTTTTTACTGTTATTGTTACCGTCGTCCTCGTTATAATTGCCAAGACCACCCGCATCTAGCATTAATAAGGTGAAAATGTGCTTGTACAACGTCGAAAGCGTCTCGAAGTCAGTGGCTTTCTCCGGTACAAGCGAAGAGATCGTACGCTGCAATTTGGCCACCGCTTGCTCCTTGCGCTCTTTTCTTGAGCGCAATTCCTCCTCGAGATTCGCGTATGTAAAGTCGAACTCGAGCTGCATCTTGACGGTCTCCATGGCTGGATCATCACTACGCAGAAGAGCTTTTTCGCACTGCTCAGTCAGATACAACTCGTCTTCTGGAGACATTGGCTGCTCCAGCACGAGATGACGCTGACTACGATGCACAACCAGTCGCGCTGTGAACGCCGCGAGCGTCTCGGACACCTCCACGCCGCGGTATCGACATCTCGCTACGATATCGGTCACCACGCGCTGAGCATTCTCCATGCTCCTCTAGCTCTTGCAAAAACGGCAAATATAGCCAACTGAAGAGAAAAGGAGCGATAATAACCACAGCGATGGGGAGTGTGCCATCTATGAGGTTGCCAATAAATAGAGAAGAGAAACCACCGGTTGACACGAGGATTGCAATCCTTTCGTTGAAGTGTTGCCTTTCACCACTCTACACATGGCTACACACTATGAGACCTCTATTGGTTCAAAATCATTGCATTTCAACTAATCACAGCAAAGTACGCGTTTTGGCCTGTCTATTGCTACATGCAGTGTCCAAATGCAGTGACTGTCGAAGCAGCCCAATAAAATCTGTCACTGAATCCAGAAGACTATCACCACCGTCCACTGCAACCGACAACTGACTTTTGTGCCATTTCGGGAGAATCGATCGTGTAGGAATCGGCACCGACTCCTTCAGTTCATCAGGAGCTGCTCGTGCGCAAAATTCCACGCATTTCGACACGCAGCTCACAGCGTCGCTTCTTTCTCTACGTGTCCGAGCTGGTTTCACCCCCATCCGCACTCTACATCCTTCAAACGGCGTCTTTGAACCCCCGGATCCGCCATCATGGCAACGACTTCTAGCGACGTGGAAATCGCAGTCTCAGCCCCTGTACTCAAGACGCAGCGCTCACTTTCCATGAACCATGGACAAGGTCTGTCGTTATCACTGCTGAGCATGGAGGGCGGCGTGCTGAGCCAGGCGTCGTCGCGCTCTCACGAAGAAGTGACACGCGAGCTGCGTGTCGACACCAACCACGGACTTAGCGAGCTGGCAGTGCGCGAGCGACAGCGCGAATGCGGGTTCAACGAGTTGGCAGGTGACGAGGAGGAGTCCATCCTTATTAAGTTCGCTGGACAGTTCAAAGACCCGCTTATCATGCTGCTCATGGGCTCTGGAGTCGTGAGTGTAGCCATGGGCCACACAGATGACGCCATCTCTATCGCTGTAGCCATCACCATTGTGGTGACTGTGGCGTTTGTTCAGGAATATCGCTCCGAGAAGACACTGGAGGCTTTAAAGGAGCTGGTACCGCCGCGTTGTAAAGCTCTGAGAGAAGGAACCGTGGTGGATATGCTGGCCAAAGAGTTAGTACCAGGCGACATTGTGATAGTGGATGTGGGAGATCGCGTGCCAGCAGATGCGAGGCTCATTGAAGCTGTGGATCTCGAGGTGGACGAGTCCAATCTCACGGGCGAAAACGCACCTGTAGCCAAGATCACGAACGCTATTGCTGACAGCCACTTGCATCCAGTTGCAGAGCGGAAGAATGTGATTTACATGGGTACTCTTGTGCGTGCTGGTCGCGGCCGAGCTGTCGTGGTTGGAACAGGGTCTCGCACCGAGTTCGGACAGGTTTTTGATGTGGTACACAACGTGGAGGAGCGCAAGACCCCATTACAGCACAGTATGGATACACTGGGTAAACATCTGAGTATGTTTTCACTCGCTGTGATCGCAGTGATTGTGATCATCGGTGTTATTCAACACAAAGGTATACTAACAATGCTGCAGATCGGCGTGTCGTTGGCTGTGGCTGCCATCCCCGAGGGTCTACCTATCTGTGTGACTGTCACGCTGGCTTTTGGCGTCATGAAGATGGCCAAACGTCATGCTATTGTGAAGAAACTCCCTGCTGTCGAGGCTCTTGGCTGTATCAACGTGGTTTGTGTGGACAAGACGGGTACGATTACGACCAACAAGATGGAAGTGATCGAGATTTTTGTCCCGTTCGAGAGTGTGACAGCCGAAGTAAACGGCGTTGGTGAGCGAGAGCGATCACCCTCGCAGGTTTCAGAGCTCGAGATGACGAAGAGCGCTCAATCAGCCGTGACTATGCGTGGAGAGCCTGTTACAGAGACGTATCACCCTCACGTTTACCACTGCTTGTTGTCTGGCGCGCTGTGTAATAACGCGACTATTGTGGACCGAGAAGTGCTGGGTCAGGCCACAGAGGGTGCTGTTCTGCTGTGTGCGCAGAAAGTGGGGATCACTCCAGCAGTCATTCAGCAGTTCCGTCGTGTCAGTGAAGTGCCGTTCAGCTCGGAAAAGAAGTGGATGGCTGTGTGTTGCGAGCCCCCGTCGGGTGGCCCATCGCGTTGGTACCTAAAGGGCATGACGGAAGCTATTCTGTCACGCTGTGACAAGATTGAGGACAACTGTGGACGCGAGAAGGACATGACGCCAGGTGACCGTGAACGGATCTTCGTGGCGTCCCAGCAGATGGCAGCACGTGGACTACGTGTGTTGGCACTGTCCTTCGGTGAGCACTCGGATCGTGGTATGGTGTTCGCTGGACTAGTTGGAATCTCGGATCCGCCTCGGGCTGAGGTTGAGAAGTCTGTGCTTGAGTTGTCACTTAGTGGAGTTAAAACGATCATGCTGACGGGCGATTCGAAGGAGACAGCGATTGCTATTGCGACGAAAGTTGGCATCATTTCGAACGACAACTTCGGTAGTGTGGACTGCGACGATGAGAGGAGCAAAGCAGTGGACGAGCTGGTGATTTCTGGTCAGGAACTGGAGATCATGGACATGGTCGAACTGGAACAGCGCATCTTGAAGACGTGTGTGTTTTATCGTACGTCGCCGCACCACAAGCTGAAGATTGTGCGAGCGTTGCAACAGGCTGGATTGATGGTGGCGATGACTGGCGATGGTGTGAATGACGCACCTGCTCTCAAGGCCGCAGACATCGGCATCGCTATGGGCACGAACGGCACGGATGTGTCGAAGGAGGCAGCTGATATGATTCTACTGGACGACAACTTCAGCACGATCTTGTGTGCGATGGAAGAAGGAAAGTCGATCTATCACAACATCAAGCACTTCCTGCGTTTCCAGCTCAGTACGAGTATCTCGGCTCTCTGTTTGATCGCCTTTTCGACGCTGTTCAACCTCCCGTCTCCGTTGAATGCCATGCAGATTCTGTGGATCAACATAATCATGGACGGACCTCCAGCTCAGAGTCTTGGTGTGGAGCCTGTAGATCATGATGTGATGAAGGAAGGTCCTCGCTCCAAAGACGCCAGTATTATCACACGTACGATGATACGTCGGGTGCTAACGTCAGCCTGCTTTATCGTGTGCGGCACGCTCTACGTCTTCTGGGTGGAACTCAGTGCTGACGGCACGATCAGCAAGCGAGACCGGACCATGAGCTTCACGACGTTCGTCATGTTCGACATGTTCAACGCGCTCTCGTGTCGGTCAGACGACAAGTCCATCTTGGAGATCGGCATCCTCTCCAACACGTTCTTCGTGTACGCAGTAGGTGCGTCACTTCTAGGCCAGTTGCTGGTCATCTACTTCCCTCCACTTCAGGCAACGTTCCAGACTGAGGCGCTTACACTTGGTGACTTGCTGTACGTCTGCTGCATCGCGTCTAGTGTGCTGATCTTCGATGAGATCCGCAAGTGGTGGCAAGTCCGTAAGCTCCGTGGAGCTATGCGCTCTGCATCTATCGCAGCAGGTTTCAAGCCAAAGAAGAGAAAACAATCGTGGGACAACGACGCAAAGGCTTTCGATACTGTGTAAATCAAGGAAAATAGCGAAGCCCTTGTGTATTATGCTGTTGCTCCACTCTTGCACAAAGATGCCGTGAGAAATCGAGCAATAGACAGAGCATGTTCGCTTTACCTGCTGGTCAAATAACTTATCCTTTTTCTACCTCCAGATCTGCCGAGCAATTGTTTCCACGCGCTGCAGAATGTCAAGCCCCACGAGTGCCACACCACACGGCACGTTAGCAGGGAACGCAGCTTCACTGCAATCGGCGTAGTAGTTTCTAGCCGCTGCAAGGTCTCTGGGAACACCATCGCCCGTCAGCAGCATCAAGCCGCAGTTGTAGCCAGCCTGTGCGTCGCCCAGCTCTGCTGCGAGTTGATAACGTTCCAATGCTCGCGTGTGGTTGCTCGGACACACACCGATCCACGGCTCATGGAAGCATGTACCAGTCTTCCGTACAGCCTCCGAGTCGTTCAACGCCGCTGCTTGTGAGTACAAGGCAAAGGCTTCATGCAGCAGCGGATTACTCGAGTCTTCTACTGCCGCTGCAAGTCCAAGCCAACGCCACTTGAGGATAGTCTGGCCGTGGTGTTCGAGCAAGAAGGCAGCATTGCACTGTCCGTCTTCATCCCCCAGTTCAGCAACGAGTCGGTAGTGCAGATACGCACGCAGGTAGTCTCCTTTCTTGTAGCATTCATACGCTTTGATGAGCGAGAACGGGAGTCCAGAAATGAGATCGGGATGCAATGCCACCGCGCGGAACAGCGGCAGAGCTGTGTGGCAAGAGCGTGGAGTGCCGACGCCTCGAAAGTGCATGACGCCCAAGTTGAATAACGCTTGACTTGACTGTCCGTCTGTGCCATCCACTGCCGCCTGGAAGTGGTAAAAAGCCTCTTTGTAATCGATAGGCACACCGCCGTCACCATGGAGGTATACCGAGCCCAAAAACGAGTGCGACTCAGCGTATCCTAGCGCAATGGCCTCTTCAAAGTACCCGAGAGCACGGGTGACATTCTGGGGCACGCCATTTCCAGTAAAATACAGCACACCGAGACCGTGGAACGCAAACGCTTGATTCTGACGAGCAGCGCGGTTGAAATACACCAGCGCTTGCGGTACGTCTCGATCTACACCCATACCATTAGCGAGGAGCATACCATAGTTAGCTTGAGCCAGCGGATCTCCAGCTTCGGCTGCTTGGCGGAAATATTGCGCTGCCAGCCCATGGTCCGCTGCGACGTGAGCTGCTTGATTGCCGAAAAAGTAGATTTCTCCAAGACGCTGCATCGCCTGAGGATGCTGTTCATCCATTGGGTTGTTCGCAATCCCGCGGTAATATTCCAACTCGTGCAGAGCTTCGTTCTCGTCGTGAAGCGGATCAGTGACTCCAAAGCCGTACTCGTTGAAGTATCCGCCTCCATTGGGGTCCAATATTTCGTCCGAGAGACGAACAATCTCTACGGGACGCTCACCGCCTTCATCGACAATAATATGCACATTTTCCTCCGCACACTTGTGGAATAACGGCAGAGCTGCTTCACACATCGCGTCTGGGCCAGTGGTCTCTGCTGCATCCTTTGTTGACACTGGAATTCTTCCGGACAAAGTACCGTACGCTACAGCCATTGTAGCCATAAAGTCTTTGGCATCTGATAAACCAGACAACGCCTTGTCAGCTCGTGCTCGTCGTTCTTGTCGAGAAAGTGGCATTATACTCGGGTCTTCTAATTCCTCGGGGTCTGGGACACCAATTAGATCCAGCATTGCTAAGACTCCAAGTGCTGACTGCACTCCAGCCTCTGCTGCGACGTTGAGGTTGTGTATAGCATCTATAAAGGCCTGCTCGTCGGACGACTCCGTGTTGGGTTCGAATAGCTGCATGAACGACAACTTCGTCACTGCGAAAGCCCAGTCACCCTCAGTCTCAGCGTCACCAGAACCCTCACGACTGCTTGCAATCTTTACCAACTTATCTACTACTTCTGGAGTGTGTCCTTCCTCTGCAATGCGATCTTCCAGCGCCAGAAAAGCGTCGGACGCTTCAAGGAACAACTGAGACGAACTGACAGTCTCCCAGTCCTCGTAGGATGCGTCCTCCTCCACACTGAGAAAGCCCTGTGCATTAATTGGTACGTCCTCTGGTTGCTGCTGTGAAATGAGCGCGGGTGCGGTGCTCTCGGTCTCGTCGTGCACGATCCTCCAGCGTACGTTCTCGTCCCTTTGGATCTGTGTCCTGCCACCTACAGAGGGAGATGAAACCCCCCGCTTGTTCGATATGGAGCCGTCCGGCTGGACTTCCCACGAAGCAATATTTTGTTTTTCTATGCGGTCTGTGGACGGCGCTGGGGAAGGATTTGTCGGGTTATCTTCTGTGAGAACCTGTTTGTGCTGTTTCTTGGACTGTGAGGAGGATACCGAGGCAGCGGCGGTCGCAATCACAACGGCGTGGATCAGCGCGATTGAGTAGCGGTGGATTTGAACCATGGTAAGTCGTGGCCAGCGTGCAGCGAGGTCAACACGCAGCGAGGAAGCGACTCGATATGCAGATCGCCACGTGTGATCTGACCTGCTCAATATGAATCGTAATTGCTTTGAAGAGGGATTGACAGATTGGCGGTGGGGATTGGTGAAATTTGGTGAAATTTGAGTTAGGTTTTGACGAATCCGATTGCGGATCCCATGTAGCCATTGCACGAAGGGCCGCGATCCAATGCACAACCGCTATTAATACCATTCTCTTTGCAGGCGCAACCACTGAAAAACGGTATCACAACGGCAACGAGACGCTTAAATAGTCCGCAACAGTGACAGCGTTCGCGACGCGAAGGTGTTGCAAGGTCCTCACTAAGTTAGTGACTAACCGCGCTCAGCAAAGATATTTATTGAAACGTATCGGAAAACGCCGCTGTGTCCGTTCTGAACTGATAGCAACACCACTACTGGTGAGTTGTGCGTTGAGCTTAGTCCTCCGACCAGAACAATGTCGAGGTCCGTAAACGATTCTAACGACCCGGCCACACAATGCGACTGCATTTCCTTTCAGCGGAAGCACAGGATCATCTCAATCATGGACAGCATAGCCACCGTGGTAGGCCCACCTCGCAGACATTGGCCTTCGCAACGTGGCGACGTAGCATCCATGAGAGAACAAGCACGTTGAAGTTGCCAACCCAGACTGGACTCGGCGTAATACCTACGAGGATTCAAAGCAGGACAACACAACTCTATGGCTTGCTAGCAGGTCGGCAATGTCGTGCATGTAACGATCATGACGCGCAGTTGTCAAATACTGAAGCCGAAGTGATAATCATACGATCCGGTGGTTTAACGTCGTGTCAAAACTTGAAGTTGCTGGCTAAGCAACACGTAAAAAGTTAAATGAGCAGGTGACCGGCAGCACTCCGCGTTGCTCATATCAAACACCGGTATGCCTCAATGCTGTACATGTATCAATAGTGACGGTCGAGTAGGGCATAACGGCGGTCACCGAATGCTACGGGAGTCACTCTGACTGCCCGTGAGAGTGGGTCGTGGCCCACGACTCGTGAGCGGTGTAAACGTAAACCATGTGCATGGCTTTTCCCACTTCAGCTAAAATCGCAAAATAGCCCCATCAACGGCAATATCCACCAATACGAGCACCCTGAATCGCAATTACAATGCCAAATTTACGAAGTCCGCTTGATTCGCTGACCATGGCGTGTCAACATACCACTTCAAGTTGCTGGTGTTCTACCCTCGTCAAGGACCTTACCATTTTGCAATTGCCCCAGAGGAAGAAAACCCATAGTGTTCCTTACTCATACGATGCGCGCCTCATCGCCGCTGTACCCGCTCGACGCTACCGCTTCTTCCTCTGCTCCCTCCTGTACATCCACCAAGGCCCCCACAACCTCCACCTTCTTGCCGTCCATGCGTCGCACTCCGAGCTGCGAGTGGCGCGAGTGGGAGGTGACACTCGACAGCTTCAGCGCCGTCTCAGGCGATCTCATGGGCGTGGACGCTGCCATGGACGTGGATCTGGACCAGTTCCTATTGGACGATTTCCTCGAACCTTTCGCGGGTCCCAATGCCACGCCGGACTCGCCCATCTTTGCGGCCGACCACGATTTTCTCAATGAGCAGGAGCAAGACCTTCACATGTTACAGGCTGCGGGCTTCGACGCTAATTGCGGTAGCGGTAGCAATGGCGCCGAGCTGCAGAGTCTGATGGAGTGTAAACTGGAGCCGCAGCCACCGCCTACGACTACAGACTCGACCCATCGCCATCGTAAACGGAAGACGGCGGAGCTCCACAGACTTCGAGCGGAGAAGAAGGTGAAGCGACAGGAAGCACTCAACGCTGTTATCAAGAGTGACGAACAGGCAGAGAAGGTGTACAGACGGAGGTATGATATTCTCCATGGGATCCTGGAGGCATGGAACACTGGAGTCATCGAGGACTTGGAGGAGATTGCAGACAACGTGTACGACGACGACGTGACACTCTTCAGTCCCAATTACTCGGAAGGTTTACACGGTGTAGAAGCTGTGATGTCACACTGGAACTTACTACTGGACGCATTCCCCGATGGAATTATGGAGGAATATATTATCCAACGTGATGAAGGCAATAGCGAGAAGATGAAGGCCACTTGGACTTTCAGCGGCACTCAGATCTACCCGATCTTTGGCGTTCAGCCGCTCCACAGGAAGGTCTGCATCAGTGGCAAGTCGTGCTTCACCTTCAAGGGCGACCGGATCCAGCAAATGGAATTGTCATGGAACAATCGGGAGACGCTGCTCAAGCTCATGGGTATGCAGCCAGACAGTGTCGTACTGAGTGCATCTACAGCCTCTGGGCCAATGATACTACCTGGTGTCGTACGATCATGATGGAATAGGCTCCAGCTATCGACACTCGCTCGTGACCTCGAAAGAAAGCAGCCGAGTAGTCAGACAACTAACCAATAATTATCTATCGCCTTTATGGTGGGCATTGCACCGGCAAATTAACTGAAAGCTTCATATTTTAGCTTGCTGGATGAGATAGATGCGGCCTGGAATGGGTTCTCCACTCTCCTTACGAACACTGACGTCTTGTTGTACAGCGACGATGAAGCCCCATCGACTAGCGAGAGACGTGATATACTCGTGCGAGTGTTGGAACCGACCAGATGGCGCCAAGCGAAAGCCCACTGCGTCGTCAACGGCTCCAGGCGGCAACAGTTCAATGGAGAAAGCCATCCAGCCAGTGGAGGCACGGAGTTTACGTTTACTCAGCTCAAAAACGCGCTCCAATGCACCCACGTATATCCACACGTCAGCGGAGATTATGAGATCCAAGGATTCATCCGCGCACGACTCGAGGAATGGCACAATGTCGACCGCTGCCAATGAAATATCGTCAGTTTACTGCACAATTTGTAAGAACAAAAAGAAAAATTGACGAACGTACTCTGCAACTCGTCGTAACTTCCCTCCGCCCGGGTCTTCTCAATCATCAAAGGCGATATGTCCACCTACACATGACAAATAGTGAGAAATCATCTATAATTCAAGACAACACTGTGTTCATTGTACCCCAATGATATGTTTCACGTGTGAGCGCAGGAGACGTCCACAGAGGCCGGTGCCGCATCCAACGTCGGCTACAACCCATTCTGGTTCAGCTGTCGAATCCTTCGGGATGAATCCGGGCGGTGATAGTTTTTGCAGAGCCTCGACAAGTTGCCAGGGAACCCGATACTCTAGATGTGCCACCAGCTTCTCCTCGAAACTATCTGCAAGTTCGTCAAAGACCTTGGCAACATAAGCAGGAGCTGCAGTCTTGGTAGTTGTAGCCCCTTCGAGTGTTGCGAGCGAATGCACTGCTCGAACGTGGCTATCGCGGTTTGATGCGAGGATTGAGCGATAGCCAGCAACTACAAGGTCGGGCTCTTCCTGGTAGTAGACGGATCTGTTTGGACACACCACGGACGAGTAAGTCAGCCAATAATACAGTAAACCAGCAACAATCTGCTCGTACCGGAGGACTGTGTGCGCTACTGAGTCACTATCATCGAGAGCGACGACACGCAGAATGGAAGCCACAGCAAAGTAAGTTTCGCCTAAAGAAGTAATATAGACAAGATGAGTTGGCTGAGCAACAAATTCTTGAGCAGAACTGCACGTACCAATCATTTGCAGAATTACGGCCAGGTTGAAACTTGATTTTGTGCACGTCGGGCAGCGCAGCAAGACGCTTACAAAGCTCGATGCAGCAGGGAGAAATTGTCCCGTTTCAAACAGTTCTAAGGCCTCTTCGCGCATCTTCACAAGGTTTGGGTCATTGACATCAAGAGGTTCGGGAATATCTGCAGCCGCTACAGTAACTTGGCTTTTCCAGAGTGCTTGAAGGGCTCGAAACGCAGCGCCTGGGGCTCCATCGTCCTTCAACAGTTCACCAAGAGCTTTCCCTGGCAACAGCGGAGCATTCAAATGTGAGTCCGCCTAGCCAACAATGTGGAAAATTACTGTGGTAAAAAGTCCAAACTGCCGCTTACATGATGAATCGGAATCAGTTGACGATGGAAATTCAGCAGCGTCGTTGTTGTCGTTCTCGCAAAGCTGTCGAAGTTCGTTCTGCACGTAAACTCGGTCACAGTCTTGCCTTTATATGCTCATAAAATATTCAGACCTCACCTCTAGCGCTTTTAATGACCCCGAAGTTAGCGCTTGACCCTGGGCGTCGAGCAAAACACATGCCGGTAGATCCGTCACTTGGTAGTGCTTGCACAGCGACCGGAAAGGTCTGGTAAGCAAGCAGCAGTAATGAGTATCACTCGTTCAATTTAAAACACAAGATGTCCATAAAACTGCAGTGCAGTTTCTGCAGCGTACGATGGTTCTAGTCGCTGTGTTTTGCCGCAACTGCTGTCGGTATTGCCGGTTTCCTCGTCCGTCCGGCGAACTTCCAGCAGTCCAATTAACTGGTGCTGCTTGTTAAGCGCGTTGACACCATCCAGCACTGCGCATAGTCTAGGCAGCGCGATAGCATCCATGGGCCTCACCCAGTCGCTCGTGAAGTATGCGAGCGTGTACAGCGCTTCGTCGTCGCCCAGCCCCAGGCTCGCCATTACGGATACTTCACCCAAGGTGTCACAGTTTTGAATTGGTGTGTCTAATCACCTATACTAAGTACGAATAAGAGCATTTTAACTGGCTGAAAAAAAAAACCGGTCAAGCCATTTGATTGGTGAAAACGTTGCATTTCTCATCCTCTTTTGAGCCGCTCGATCTCCAGTCAACACTAGGAGCTACGAGCAAGACGCATACGTGCTGTCTGTCCCCTCCCCGTGCCTTCTGTCCGTCTGTCTGTCGCTATGGGAGGTGCACCGAGCAAGTCCGAGCGCTCGTCCAGTAAGCGGTACCCCGTGCTGGCCACCAGCGCAACTCCTGTACGTAGCGTAGAAGACCTCCTCACATTTATCTCCACTTCTGAACCATATCTGTCATTCTACCATTCTACCTTGCTCAGGAGGGAGACCTGCCAGTGTTCATGCAGCAGGTAGAGCAGATCGAGAAGGAACGCGCCAAATTGCCCAACCCTGGTCTGTACGAGAGCGCCCCCAATGAGCTCAAGGGCCCCGTGAGTCCGGATGCATTCGACGGCTTCCGCTTCGACTTTACGCGCATTCTAGGCCAGACCTGCTCCACGTCGCACTCGTTCCTGTTGGGCACGCCCATGATCCCTGGTGGACTCTACCAGTTTGGCGCTAATGTCGTAATGGGCGACCCCATGGACCCGTCAACTTTCCTCATGAGCAAGATCACTCCGGACGGCTACCTCGACGCTCGGTGGAACCAGAAACTTTCAGATAACTGGAAGATGCGCGTTAAGGCACAGCTTAAGAACGAAGAGCATGGATCTCAGGCGCTCGCTGACTTCGACTACACTGGAGAGGACTTCACGTGGAACATGAAGGTCTCCAACGGCCCGCTGCTCGGTGTCAGCTACCTGCAGAGTGTCACGCAGAACCTCGCTCTCGGTGGCGAGGCCTATTACCACGGCAAGCACCGTAAGGTCATCTCGGCTTACGCTGGCAAGTGGACTGACCGCGACTGGGTGGGCATGGCCACGTACGGCGCTATGGGCACGCTGCAGCTGGCGTACCTTCGCAAGGTGGGTCACCGGATCCGCTACGGCTCTGAGCTCGTGTACAACCACTCGTCGGGTGAGGCACAGACCACGTGCGGTGTGGAAATGGATTTGGGTCAGACACGGTTCGTGTCCAGCGTGGACTCGACTTTCCGCGTAGCGACGAGCATCGAGTCGCGTGTGCTGCCCAACTTTGTGCTCACGTTATCGGCCGAGGGCTTCCCGCTCAAGGACGCCTTCAAGTTTGGCTACGGCGCGCAGCTTTCATTCTAGATTTAGAGTCGCAGTGCAGTTCAAGTCGGAGGAGAGCAAAACCTACCAGCAACAGAGCAGGCAGGGAGGGACAAGATAGGAAAATGTCGCGTGGATTGGCTCAGCTCAGCTCGCTACCCGTGGCAAGCTCTCCCGTTGACCCTGCTTTGTTTGTTCGCGGTCTAGAGAACACCAGGAGCTCGGTTTCTTGCAACTCATCCAATTGACTGTTTCGTTTGCCTATCATTTTATTGCCACTGATTGATTTGAACAAAGTATGCAATACTTTATCTAGGTGTCTTAGTGATTGAAAAAACTTCAACTGGGTGCTCTAGAGAGTGAAGCCTCGGACAACGCGGAGCTAACCTCGAGCCGCAATCATCAAAACGCTGACGACCAAGAGATCATTAAGATTGAGAATGCACAACTGAAGGTGACGCTGGAGAAACTTCTCTTTGCCAAGCAGCAGTCGGACAATGAGACTGAAGCTCGGATTGCCAAGCTGGAGACGGACAACCAGCAGCTGCACACTATGTGGAAGGACGAGGTGACCAAGCGACTCGACCTTGAGAAAAAGCTGCAGACTCTGGACAAAGCTCGGATGAAACAACTCCAAAAGAGCAGGAAGCTACGTAAGATTTGTCTCGGGCAGGTCGCCATGTTACTCGACATTCGCCAGAAGGTGTGCCAGCAAAATAGAGAGGCGTGCCTCGCGCTGTGGAGCAGGAAAAGAAAGACCGAGACGAGATCGTGCCCTGTCATTACAGGACTGAGCTGGCTTTATGTTCAAGACCGATATGACACCGTGTTTCAGATGCTGCCCTCTCATTACGGGGCTGAGACTGGAACTCGTGGTTCATGATACGGTCGTACCGCACAAGTGTGAACGCTTTCAGCGCTTCACGTTCATTCAACACAAATGGATTGAGCCACCGCGTTGAATGTCTTCAAACCTCATAGTTGTTCTCCATATTTACGTGTAGAACAAATTTATACAATAACATCAATAACTAGCACAAGTTCCTAAGAAAGCTTTGTTGTGTCGGTAGCTGTTCTCAATTCGTGGCAAGTATTTAATACTTTCTCAGCAAAAGCCACAGCTCAAGCATAGCCGATAGAAGATGCGTTTACACTGCTGTGATCACCGAAGCGTTAAAAGGGCCAGTCGCCAGCAGGCTTGTTGTTTGAGCCATGGTATCCACTGTTGGGTCCGGACGCGTACGAATTGCCACCACCCTGGGAGAAGCCACCGTTGGTTCCGCCCTCGACGTTCCTAGTAAGATAGAACTCGAGTGTTAACGATACCATTCATGACAGTCACATTCCAAACATGAAGCTCTTACAGAGGTCCTTCCAGCACTGAATGGTAGCCAAGAAGCCGAGGAAGCGAGTAGGTCAGCAGCTCCTTGAAGACACGCGCCTCTCCGACATTAAGCGTGGCCACAGACTCGCCCTCGTGGTTGACCTTGATGAGAATCAACGGGTTTCCATCCGATCCCGACGAGCGAGAAATGTGCAGCGACTTGGTGTTCTTGTCCCCCTCAGACGCGTTCATGTTTGGCGAGTGCGTAAGCGACAGCTCCGGGATACGTGAATCCAGCAGCTCCAGTACCAGGCCCACCTCCGATGGACTCAGCGAGAAGAACTGGCAATAGTACAAGAACATAAGAGTCAGCAAAGTAGCCTCATCATACACAAATAGGTACAGCTTTAATTCACCGTCTTGTTCTGGTAATTGTAGCCTGAGTTGGTGGCTTTGGCCCACGACAGCATGATAGCTCCCTGTATAGAATCTCATTTAGCACTATAGCTCTTCCATTTTACTGGTATTAAGCCTTAAAAGTCATTGATTTACTCACCACACGCTTGGTCTTCAAGTAACTGCCACCGTTAGTGTACTGTGGGGCGCTGGGAGCCACCTGAAAGGCTGAGTCGCTGCCGTACACCGAGAAATTGGGAAACACACGCTCTGTCGCTGAGTATCAGACGAAGGAGCACAAGATGAGACGCGAGAAGAAGGTTGACACAAGTAAAGAGTGTCGATTGCACGTACAGTACAGCGCGGAGCTGCGAGGAGCCATACGCAGCCCATGGCTCGCCGTCTTGCGGAGCGTCTGTAGCAGCGGCATGTTGCTCACTCGCTGTTGATACCAAATTGGTGGTCACTTTGGATCCATTAAGTACGATATAGCCATTTTGGCTAAAACTGTAGCCATGTCCATGAAACGACGCAAACACTTGCGGTTCACCTTAGCCTTGAAGCCATGTTCCTGTGTTGTGCGGCTGGGCCGGTGGTCAAGACCTTTAAAGTGTCGTCGGAGGCCATCACACACCAGCGCACGCTCAGTTCGCTCAATTCTGATGTGTCCTCTGTCCGATACAACCACAACGGAAGGATCTTGGCGAGCAGCAGCGTGGAAGGCGGAATTTGTCTGAATGTGGCTTCATCTGGAGAGTTGCTATCACGATTCTTCAATCCTGGTGATGCACCTGCGAACCGAGTTTGTACAGCCATGATGTCGTGCGGAACACCTCTAATCGGGTTCTAACAAACATTTGTGTCATTTGTTCCAGCGCGTAAATGCTGTGCAGTTCAGTAGTGGCTCGAGATTTCTTGCTTCAGGCAGCAATGATGGCTGCGTTCGGGTAACCAATCTGCAGTGTAACATGGATACATACTACACATTGTAGTAACCAGAATGTCAACTACAGTTGTGGGATCTCAAGACTCAAGATGTCATGCAAACGTATAATATCAGTGCAAGCGCTGTCACGTCCGTAGCATTTAGCGGATACAAGGATGAATTCATTGTCGGGGGTAGTGCAAGGTAAAATTCAGCTGAAATAACCGTCACCTACTCATGCATAATTAACCTAGTTATTTTGTAGTGGGGCCATCTCAGTGTGCGACGTCCAAACAGCAGAGACAGCAGGGTTCCTAACAGTTGATCCGGCCCATGGGGTACACAAAGTGATGGCGATTCAAGCCTCCCCACATCCATATGCTCGACATGCACTGGGATCGACCTACTCGGATGGATCAGTTCGAGTATGGGACTTGAGCACTGGACAACTGACTGCCGAGTTCGTTCGACAACACGAGGCACCAGCCACATCATTAACATTGTCTCCAGTCAGTAAGGTTCTGCTCGCAACGGGTGGTTTTGATGGTCGAGTGATCTTCTACGATACCCTACAGCGCAAGTACGGTACACTACTATTCGTTGTTGGGCTGCTGGTCTCTAACTTCCTGTGAACAGAGAACTACGCTCTTTAGACTTGGAACAGCCAGTATCATCACTAACTCTGTGTGCGGATGGCAAAACACTCGCAGTGGGGACGACAACAGGCGAGATTCTAGTGTACGATCTTCGAGGAGCCATCACACCGTTATTCTCCACCCTTGTATACGAAACCTCAGCAGTTCAATCGCTCCAATTCTCACCACCTGCATCGGATGTCGTTACTACCGGTATGATTCCAGAAGGCGTCCCCGTTGTGTCGGCCGAGCACGCATCACCTTGCAAAGGCAAAACACTACAAGAGATCGCACTGCGGAAACTCGAAACACTAGGAATGGGAAGCCCGACGAGGAAGTACCAGGATCAACCAGGGGTTCACTCGTCACCATTACCTTCTCCGACTCGTTTTGCAACTCGCACTGGTAAGTACCTTCCCGTCTTCGAAATTATGGCAAATTTTGTGCCTATAATGACCGGGTGTTGTCGTAAACAGCAGAACCTCCCGAGCCTGCATCTCCACAGTGCCATGCAAATGGGATTATGTCTCCAACGCAACCTTCAAGTCGGCCATTTGCCAATGCACGCACAGAGCTTACTACAGTCGAAGAATCTATGGATGAGAGGGGACAGTCCGGGTCTCTTTCAGTATCATTCTTATCCACATTGTCACGAAACGTTCCGGATCAAACGACCAATACTTTCTATACTGGAAGCTCTCCATCCAAGCAACCGGATTTCGTTAAATCAAAAATGCGAGCAGAGATCCAACGACTTCGAGAGGAGATGGAACTGCGACGCCAAGAGGAAGTAGACCAGCTCTCGACGTTGGTTGAAACCTTGATGGACCGCTTTGACGCCATAGTGGAGGAGAATCGATCGTTGCGCCAGGAGAACGAATGGCTCAAGTCTCACGTGCCAGCATCGTAGACCAGAAGACACAAAAAACATCGAGAGTTAAGCTTGAACAATTGAACTATAGGCAACGAATTTCCATCGCCTTGCTCTCCCCCATTTTGCGTCTGCAAATTGCAGTTTCCCACCCTGAGCAATCGCAATTCGGTCATGGAAAAAATAATTTAATACAATTGTTATGGGTCGGAATAACTTATTATTGGTAGAAAAATATTATAATTATTATTATTGCATTGTTTGAAGCAAAACTCCCAACCTAATCTGGTGGTCTTACAAAAACCAAGCTTAAATTAGCTAATTGCAATAATAAAGTAAGCACGGAATTATTTATTATTGAATGCTAGATATTATAATGTTTATTATTGGAAGATTTTTTGAAGTATAATTAAATATTGTATTCCCTGATCCACGGCTAACAACCACACCGTCACTTGCTCTGTATAACGATAGGTCATGCCCTCGAGCTGTCACTATACCTAGGCCATTCCGGACGAAGATCGGGTGAAAAATCGCATTGTTGGTGTCGTTGAACTGGTGAAAAGTACACACTGGAGCTGACGTGTTACGTATGTCGAACATAAAGAAGTTTGGATCAAAACCTGCCGACAGCAACAGGTTGTCATCCACCGGATGGAATTGAACACTGTTGATCGCCCGGGAATGCATGCTGTCAATTGTCACAACGTTGGGATTCTGTGGTGTAGTAATTCCCACGGCAACTCTAGCTACCAGTGTAGGTAGGATGAACCCACAACAATACGTCTACCAGAACGGTAAACGATCGTTGGGCGTGATCTGAAGACCCAGCCTCAGCCCTTACACCGGGACAGACTGGACCTGCAAATCACTTATATAGGCCAACCAGTAAATTCCTCTCACCTCACAGATTCTACCGGTTATTTTTCGCGCTTGCGTTCGTTGGATCTGCGGTCGTAAGTGAAGCTTCATTGTCATCCTGCTCCGTACCGTCGTGTACGGAGGTACTGGGTGGCGGTGAATGGGATCCACAATCAGTGGAGCTTGGGTTCAGGTTCTGATCCGTCTCCAGCAGTTTCCTCAGGTGGACCACGTAGTTGTAGCATAATTGATGCGAATGAATCAGTAACAGCACCGGAGATCGCTGTACAGAAGAAGCTGGACCGAGTAGAAGCGCTGAACTCTCCGGGAACTAGTGTGTACGAGTGTTGTTTCCTCCAGATCGCGTAGGTGGGTTTGAACCGTTCTCCGAACCGGTCAATCAACAGGCGCACCATCAAGTCGCGCGGTAGGAGCTCCTCCGTGTCCACGGCGATGGGGTAATCTGCAGCGACATCCTCGTGGACCCGGAGGACGACTGCAGTGTGATACCCTCGCGGGTCGTCTGAAACGAATGCCATAGAGTAATACTCGATCGTGTCGCCAGCGTACAAGCTGGCAGGATGCAGCTCTAAGGCGCTGATCCCCGGCATGTTCGGCAAGGAGGTGAGGGACGCAGCGCAGTAGTGGTGGGGCGGCGGTCGAAATAAGGAATAATTTCTGTCTGGGCCGGCCCTTCACTTCTCCGACATTCGGAACACATCCGAATGTCGCTTTCCAACCAATCCTATACCTCCTTGCAACCTCGAAGGCAACCTCAAATGCCCTGCCTGAGCTGCGTCGCTAGGGTTCGAGCAATGTGGAGGCGAGCAAAAAGACGACGATGGCCTGCCCTTTTGCTGCTAGTGTGTTTGTAAATCGGGGATGAGTTTGTGTGGTATTCAGATCGATACGTGTCCCTCACGTTTCCTCATTGGAGAGGTGGTTTGTACATTTACGATGTGTTTCCTAAAAGTTGAATGATTT